CTCATTATGCACGTGATGATGAGTGTGATGCTCTTAATTAAGTGATCAATACCAATTAGAAATACCAGTATGCCACACGAACATTCTTTTACATTATGCATTATTTCACCCACGTCAGTGTTTTAAATGTTCGAATAGGGAACCGCTAACATTATACTGTAACTAATCAGGCAGGATTCAAAATGTTGTTCATATAAGCAGTGGTTATTGGTTAGACACCCTAAATCGAAATCAATCATCATGTTTAGGATGTGTGTTTTATAAGGCGGCGCATTTTACCACGATGCTAAATCATCGTTGCGATGTGAACGGAACCATTGTTGGAACTTACAAATTGTAAATTGATTTATTCGTGGCACCACCTGTCACCATGGTAGTCGCTTTCTTTCATATTGAATGCCGGGAGCTGAAAATTCCAGCAACAGTGGACTCGGCAAAATGGTACCCAACACATCTGAGGAAGGTATTTCTCAATATTTCGACGCAGGATGTTTCACTGTGTTATTCGCAAAGCGGTTCTTCGTAGCTGTCTTTACTATTACAAGTATATTTTTTGTTTTGTTGTTCAACACATGGGCTTACCCGGACCTTGCGCCGCGGTCAGTAGTTGACACCGGAACGAACTGTCTGTGCCAAGAAAGGAGAGAGGTCTTCGAATCACCGCGCCTGGGTGAACTGAACGGAGAGATGGATGTGGATAGTAATATCACTAACCAACATATCAACTCTACTATGCCGTTAGATATCAAACCAACATGGGAAGCAAGTCATAACGCCACTGCTTACTACCAGGAAAGAAGAAAACATTCTTGTTATTACCCTATCAACCCAGTATCCATGTTTTCAAAAACAGTTCCTTCGAAAGAATTCAAAGAAAAAGGGTGCAAGAAACGGCTTCCCGAAGTAGTTATTGCTGGAATGAGAAAATGCGGAACTGGAACCTTGATGAATTTTCTCAATTTACATCCAAATATTGCAATTACCAATCATGAAATACATTACTTTGATAATAATTACGATCATCACGGCGACACAGAATGGTATCGTGAACAGATGCAATATTCTTCTAAAACACAAATCCCGATCGAGAAGACTCCAACCTACTTCTTCCGACCGTACGATGCTCCCATGCAAATGACAAGAACGCTAACGGATAAGGTCAAGATCATAGTCATACTATGTGATCCGGTAAGACGCGCAGTTTCTGATTATCTAGAGTTTGTTCGAAAGTTTGATCAATCATCCCTCGGTAATATTTACTCGAGAAAATACTTAGCAGAGACATTCGAGGAATCCGTGATCGACAACAGAAACGAAATCCAAGTTTATAACGAAATCGTTGACGTTGGAATTTACGTTAAATATGTGCACCGATGGCAGGAATATTTTTCATTTGAGCAATTACTGTTTCTTGATGGAGATCAGTTTAAAAAAGAACCCACCACAGAATTACGAAGAGTCGAAATATTTTTAGGACTGGAACCGTTCTTTCG